GGAAAACTATGTGGTTACATTTGTACAAAGGTGAAATGTGCTGGTGAAATAGTTTAAAGTGTACGTAAAAAAGGCCTGTTGTATGTCATGTGCTCGTTTGTGCATGGACACATTGCTGTACAAAACATTTATACATTTGAGGGGTAATCGGTAAGGTACATCATAAAAGGTGTGTCCTGGGGTTGAGTAAAAGACTTTTGATATCCGAAAATAGCGATATAAATAGTCCTTTCATTTTCATAATTATTTGCTGGAGAAATATGATGGAGATTTGTTGCAGAAATCGCCGGCGAGAGAAATCAGAAAATAGGTATATCCATTTATACGATAGCAAACAATCATCCTCTTCTTGACGATACTGGAGATAACACTTTGCAATGAAACATGTTTGTCGACTTGCATTACTCTAGAAATGCATTTAAATCTATAGATTTTGTTATATCAATTCCAAACTGACTCAAACTGATATTCACACAATTCAAAGAAACGCCAGACACCCAGAGAGGCATATATCGTACGCTCCCCCAGGTGGGCGACCGTTAAATACTATGCGAATGGTATTTTACAGTTTGCGAGTACTTTCTGTCAAAGGTGGGCGACATAACAGAAGCTTTACTGTCGGGTATTAACTGTCAATACATGAGGCAGAGAGAGCGAGAGAGCTGGGTAGAGGGAGGGAAGGAAAGAGAGAAAGAGAGGGAGAGAAGGAGAAAGGTGTTCTGCACGCCTGTTCTGTAAATACAGTAAAGACTTCACAAAAGAAATCTGAAAAGTGTCTGGTTGTGTAAGGTCCTCCTACACTGCAAGTGGTGCTGTATCTATTTTTCCTTTCTGTCTGTACGTAGCTTTTTGTTTTTATCTCCATTTTAGGGAGCATTGACGCATTAAGACATGACTGGGACTGTAGCAGTCTGAATCTGTGGTACGGTCACTTCGAGATGGGTTATGCCTAATGTTAATTCCAGGCAGGTAAATAGATTACGAGAACAACTTAAATTCGTGCATGTATGAGATGCGTAGCCGTTTGAAGAGGAACGGTTATGCAATGACAAATAATTATCTTTCTGTAGCTTATAACTGTAGTATGTGAATGGATATGAAAAGAGGAAAACGCTGTTTACGGCATACCTGCGTATTTCTTTGAGAAACAGCCGCGATTGCACCTTCAGTTGACATGTTCATTAGAGTAGCAGTAAGTGAACGAGATGCCTATATATGCTAGTAAACAGAGCAATCCGCCTCACTTACGCCCTTATAGTAAGATGGAAATCAAAGCTTCAAAAAATAATAAAGTAATTCCTACTACTAAAGCTGTGCGTGTTTTAGGAGCTTTTTTTGTGTGTGGAGATTTTGGAGAAGCGGTCTGTGTCCATTGTAATATGTCAATGTTTGACATTAAAAATGGGAGTTTGTAAAGGCGGACGACTTTTCTGTGAGGTGGTCGTTTTCTGTTTTATTTACCGTTTTTAGATCTATTCTGTATCGTGTTATTTTTCCGGTCCATGGTAATATATCGCTATTGTTTTCAGAACAACACACAGTATAGCTAAGTATTTCGTTTGCTTTTGGGAAGCTTATGGTGTTGTGCATTATTTTGCGGTTTTTTTATCGGCTTTTGACACATTCGGGTTACGGTAATCACTTAAGTGATTGGTTGATTGATATTCATATAAAAGACGCATGACTAATACGGAGTGTTTTCTTAATCTAGACTCGAGGTCTAACTACCATATGTTTCAGATTTGTTTTTTCAGGCTGTTAACCTTTATTCTGTATTACTCTGGGAACTGCTGTTTTGTACCATCTGTACTATGTCTTTAATGTTGTCTTTAAAATGACAGCGCGGAAGTCTAATTTATAAATAGCATAAATATTAACTTGGTTTGTGTGTGTCTGTCAATAAGTGTTGTCAAATATAGATGAACCAGTTTTGCTACACTTATTTTTAGGTCTAAAAATACCGTTTTAAGTGCTGCCTGTGATTATTAAAAGGTGTTGTATTATTTATTTGATGTGTACTTCTAATTAATCTGTCCATCTCCAAACGTGTGTTCATTAAAAGAAAAGAATACGTAACTTTATATTGAATTATTTCATTGTAAATACCAACGACTGAGTATACAGCGAAGTGCGAAATGATCAGGTCATCAAAGATAAGATGGTTTTTGAACGCAAATGTGACAATGCAAGAAGAATGATTAAAATGGTATTCAGTCAGATACAATTTATACGATGGAGAGAATAATTGTATCCATATTTAGGCTTTTTTTGGACAGAGTTTAATAACTAACTCCATGTTGTACAGTATGGAGATTGAATCAAGCCTGCAGAAGATAAAAGACTCAAAAGACTACAGAACTAAGTATCAGTCAATGGATTTTAATTGAGTGGAATTTCATTTAATTGCTGATGTGTTCTGTTAATCAGAGATTACGTTTAAAAAAAAAGTGATTTAGCGTAATGTATGAATATCTGGATGATGTAGGCCTTGTTTTTGCCTTGTCTTCTTTTTAGGAGGCAAAAAGCAATAGCATAAAAGTTCATTTTCGGGTTTTATTTTCTCCAGTCAGCAAAGTTAATATTAATGATGAAACCCCAAATTAAACTGAGAAATACGAGACAAAAATGAACTGTTTTCCTGAATATAGTTAATTAGACTTGTAATACAACATTTAAATTATATTGTATATTCCATGAAGAATAAAACGTTTTTTCAGTGATTATTAAGAAAATTACATGCATGAGTAATGTTTTAATTTTCATCTGTAGTTTATTATTTTTCATGAATTGCCCTTTTCCAAAAGTAGTTGGTTTTGTCAGAAAAGGGTCGCTTGTTTTTTGCTTCTTGCACATTTTGTATTGATTATTTTAAAACATTCACATATTTTAAATTTCTTATGGCCGACTGTTGCTCAAACCTAGGAGAAAATGGTAACTAGAACTGATCTGTCTTAGCTTTAGCTGTGTTTTGAGAACTCCATGAAAAGATAGTGAAGAAGAAGATTTAGTTTAGATAATAGATTTAGTTTTATGTATTACGTTAACAGCTACATTTTACATTCACGAGTACATCTGCTACAGTTTGCAAAGTTCTTTTCTTGTTATATAAATATATTATAACTTCCAGCCGTAAAGGTTGCTGGTGAGGGCAGCGACAACACCGCATACTTGTGTTATGATCCGGAATGTTTCAGATAAAATAAAACGATTCTTTTCAAAGATCAAATACCACTCTGGCTGTTAAGAATTCTAACAACCAAAACGTCTTTGGTTCTTTGATGAGTGTAATTTTAATTATTTTTAGGGGCCTGCCAAAAAAAAGTAGCCTATGATACCGAGATATTCTCAAAGCATTCTAAGACGATTCCATACAAAAAAAAAAAAAACATAAGAGGCCTGTGAATGTTCCATGAACTGAAGGCACAGGCAGTACTGTGATCTACAGAATTACAATAAATGGCCTACAGAGACAGACATAGCAAACAGGAGTGTAAAATGTGAACAGCACTTGCAAATTGCAGCTTTGTTGCGATCTGAAACCGCACTCCTATAGTAATTTCAAACCTGTCACCCTAGACCGATTAAGGATTCAGTGCTTCTCCTTTTATCTGTGCGATTCAGATCAAATCTTGCATTAATTCATTGCGTTTGGAGATTTACATGATTGCGTTAGAATTCCATAAGTATTAGTATAAGAATAAGAATAAGTAAAATGCCAATATTTTAAAATGAAACGTCAATGGTCGTTTTAAGTGAAGGAACTCCAAAGAACTCACGTTCAAGGCGCTCTTTTGAATGTTTCGTGTCTTAATAGATTATTAAGTTTTAAAATGTGTGTTATGAATACAGAAACATTAAGAGATTTTAATATCTGTTTTTCAGAAAACAGGTAACCCTTTTTAAGTTCTAAATTACATAAATTCACGTTTTACAAATGTTTATGCCACACAATGAAATAATGCATTTCTTATTCTCCTTTTTATCTGCTTTAACGTAAATATCAAAACACAAACATTAACAATTGTATCCAAGTGACAAAAATTACTGAAAGATCCTGATATTCGTTATGGTTATAACTGCTTAATTTCTATATACGTCACTGACTCGGAAAAGCGGATCTTATTAGGATAATAACGTACAGTATGGATGTACTGCACGAAATCGCATTCCTTTGTCACTTTAAAACAAGCTTCATTAAAAAAAGAGTTTTAAAATAAGATGAGCAATTAGTGATAAATCTTAGATTTTCTATAGAGACAACAGGAATCATGCATATTGTGCAGCACGAAATGAGAAAATATACGTTTAGTACATTTGGATCACTCTCAACTTAGTCGTTCTTGACATTTTAGTTGATAAGTAAATCAAGGTTATCAAAGTCCATACGTGTTCAAAGACTCGATACACTGCTAAATCCTTTGAAGAAAAAGGTTTAACTGGGTATTCAACTGTAATAAGTTCTCATAGCCTTGAGCTAGATTTTGACGATTTATTATCTCTTGTCGCTATTTACCCTATTCTGCAAGGGTACATTTTATCAGTCTTCAGAGGCACCAGATACCATTTCTAGAGTTCTCAGAGGACTGATTATGTGCAAAAAGAAGAAAATTGAAAATGTTTATTGTTTTCATGAGTCACTTGCCAACTCGTTTTATACCGTGGTATTATTCTGACATCTGAAACAAATTTGTTTTAAAAAGTAAACACTTTCCTCCATATCCGCGTAAATGATAACTTATGTATGGGAATGATCACTGCATTAAAAAGCTACACTCTTCCCCCAGCCGCCTTTATTGTGGAACTTTAGCGCATTTTCTTTAAAAAATGAAAATGCGCTTCAAGGTAATTCGTCTGTTTTTCAACTGAGATTGTTTCTCAGCATGAATTCATACACGCTATCACGAGCAAACACGAGGATTTGAAGATGAAAGTGGAGGGACCGCTCTGAGATACATAGACTGGTGACTCTTTGTGACATATTAACACAAAGGTTTATTTTTTCCTTCCTCCGCTGAGGGGTTTTCTGTCTGGCTGACGGTGGTGTGTCAAACTGACACACCGTGTCAGGGCTGACGACGCCTCTGCTCTGTAAGCCCCGAGGAAATGAACTGACATGGCGGACAAGTCAGGCGGTAGAAAACAGATGAGTTGATCAGAGCAGGGTGTGTTAGATATACATTAAAGAAGTACAGAACTCGTATCTCTTTCCATCACCTATCAAATCCCTGGTATCGTGTTTTTATTGGCGTCTTCATCAGCACAGTGCTCATGCTTGTAAAACGTTTAAGCGATCATCTACATTGGAATTATTGCATATTATCAATACAGTAGATAATGATTGAAAATAGATTTTAATTATCGCACACGCCTGAATCGCAGCGCAGTACGCCAATGACCTGGGTGTTTGGTTAACACGAGACGGTGCCAGAGGCTGAACGCTGAAAACAGTATTTGATTCACCAAGTAGATTTTTTTTTAATTGATAGAGGAACACCAGCTGCACTTTGGACGCCTATTTGTAGAGTGCCACGGTCCTATCTTATTACCAGATATAAATTCATTTTGTCAAGTAAGGCTGAACAATTGAGCCAATATTTTTAATTTTTATTTCCTAAGGCACTGGGAAAAAAAAACAACAACCCCACGGCGCTCCTTGTCGCTCTCCAGGATCAGGGTTGCATACCGCTTTGCTGCTCTCACTTCACCGTCTCTGTACCTGCAGCTTCTCAAGACAATTCACCTAGGAGGGCACACGGAGGGCCTGAAGTAAGATGGAGAACGAGACGAGCACTACCACCTCTGCCCCTGCTACCACTACTGCCAGTTCGCCGTCGTCCCGCACCCAGGCCCCCCCGCCACCTCTGTACAGCGCCCCCACCGACAGACAGGCTGTGCAGGTAACTCTCCCCTCGCGATCCCGCGCCGGCACGCTTCCCCCGGAGAAGCAGTTTAGAAGATGGCAGGAGACCTAATGTTCACCTGACGTGTCAAACGGCGAGGCCCATCATTCCCTGTACAGCTCAGAACACATCTTTGGGTTCGCCCCCAATTCACTATTTTGATCTCGGAACTAATCTGAACCCCCCCCCCCCCTTTCCTTTCTGTAAACGAACAGGGCCGACGCTGGCTTCAACACACACCAGGCGTTTCGTTCGTAGAAAATAGGATTACTTGAAAATAAAAAAAACAACCTCGGATCTTATACCCTCCTTGCAGGATGTCCAATTGTACAATGCATCAAACATAAAGCCTGATCTGGTGAATTTAAGAGAGATCAAAACATTCCTAAGTTCTGAACCCTGTTCACACTACTTAAAACGTGTTTTCCGGTCTGTTTTGATCCAATTGGGATCTGATCAATTATCCTAAAAGCTACAGAGCTGCAAACTATAAAATATGAACACATCTTTAACAGGAAAGAGGAGATGTTGGTGCGTGTTGTGTACAGTGGACAGTTGTGCAGATATCAGGACACTTGATCAGCTGCTGGATGGGCAGTTATACTTGGGCTGGTGAGAGGGGCCTCTCTGAGATGTGTGTCAAAACACTGAGCCCAGGCAGACATACTGTGTAGGCAACCTTGACTCTCCGAGCCTTTCTGCAATGGGTCGATTAAGCAATTGAGGAGCCATTCGGTAATTCAAATTCGCCAGATCGGGCAGAGCCCAGACGGCAGGGAAGGGAAAGGTCTTCCACGATCGGTGTACAGCACCGCAGAGGGACCTGTCTGCTGGCAGGCGGAAAGCAAGAGAAGAAAAGAAGCCCTTGACACAGTGGTGAGGTGACAACGAAGGTTTTGCACCTCCCGGAACCTCAGTGTCCGATTTCATTAATCCATTACAAGCAGCATCAGTACATCCAGAAAAGGGGATGAATTTATTCAATTCAGCACAGAGCTCTCGCACTTGGAAGAGGCACCCTACAGGTTATTGTTTTCCTCCAGTTCTGTAAGAGTTCGGTTGTTAGAGAAATGCTCAGGCCCCTGGTAGTTTGCTCTTCTCAGCACAGTGCCCCAGGGGGATGAGGTCATTTCTCAGTGCCTGGTTGGGTGCCGTTCAGACACACCTGTGGAAGGGGCTCCTCCACACACTCGTCTGGGTGGGTGGGGGTGCGTGTGACTGCCGTGCTGTAGCTGGTGTTGCTCTCACTCCCACAGGTGATCCAGCAGGCCATCCACCGGCCACAGAGCATGGCTGCGCAGTACCTGCAGCAGATGTACGCAGCTCAACAGCAGCACCTCATGCTTCAGACAGCTGCCCTGCAACAGCAGCACCTGAGCAGCACCCAGCTCCAGAGTCTGGCCACAGTCCAGCAGGTGGGGGAACGTTCCAGAACCCCCCCACCCCCAGCCCTCCCTCCCTCCCTCCCTCCCACCGACCATCTTTACATCACAGTGAAACTCGGGACGTAGCGTGTGGGAGGTGTCACCACCTTCCATCTTCAAAAAAAAAAAAGCTCTTTGGGGGTTTTGATTTGTGCCCAGATGAAAACAGAACACCTATCAAGATTCTGGCCTCAATTCAATAGAATCAGTAATGCAAGAGTGATTTTTACATCATTCCATATAGCCACTTACCATTTCTAACCATTAAGCCTTATGCAGAAAGCCTGTAGACATTCACAATTAATCACACTCTGCCTGCCTTTCTAATTTGCATATGCTCGTCACATGCTTGCCTCTGCTACTGCTCATGTGTCCATCAACACTTACTTTCATATCTTTTGACACATCATCGCCACAGAGTAATAAAGTGAAATGGGTGAAAAAATTTTCCCCAATGCTCAGACGTGGCTTGCAGCATACGTTTAATGGCCATGACTCGTGGCAAAGTGGTCAAGGGTAACAGTCAGCAGAGCAGTGCTGTTGGTTTGTCACACACACACAGTTTGCTGCATCCCACATCAAACAGTCAATTCTCTCCAAGTCCCCTTTCAGTGCATTTCTTTGGGCCCCACCTCCAGTGTAGCTCGTTTTGAAAGGGCAGACTGTGTGGGTGTGCGCGTGTGCGTGCGTCTGTGTGTCTCCAGTCACAGGCTAGGTCAGTGCCCTCTGACTTCTCACTTCGTTTCACTTCCAGGCGACGCTGACAGGAGGCAGGCAGTCCTCATCCCCCAACGGCAGTGTGTCACAGCAGTCGAATGTCTCACAGACCTCGGTAGGTACAGTAGCTGCACCGTCACTGATGGTCTTTCTGCTCACATGACAGAGACGCTCTGGGGCTTTCACACTAGCAACTGACAGCACGAGCCCTCTGCCCCGCTTACTGCTAGCCTGTGGGCCTCACAATTAGCTCTCTTCTTTTCAAACAAAATGGATGATTTGAAGGTGAGTTACCATAAATTGCATTTTAATATCATTTTTCAGGTTTTATTGATGACCTGACCCTGCCTTTTGGAAAATGTTGGAGTGAAGATTGTAGTTTTTTTTTCTGTTGCCTTGAGGTTAAAATCAGGCGGAGTGATTTCTTTTCGAAAGCTTCAGTTGCCTGAAACCTAACTTTTATTTCTAATGACTAGAGATGTTGCTTCTTTGAAATAACTGCAGTGCCTTCAGTTTCTCACCTACTGTGAGAACATGTCTGGTTTTTATTATATTAAATTTTAGAGGACATCTTTTTTACAAGTACTGTGAGTTCTATTCACTTTAATGACAAACATTAAATAAACATTTAACATAATTATGAATGGATGGATACTAAGGAAAAATTAAGTCAATGTGTATCTTTGTTTTTGCCATTTCTGCGTTGTTGTATTCATTTGATTAAACCATGTGACTTCAGAATCTCCTGAAAGAGGGTGCTTCATATCTCTTTTTGCTGAATGATACAATCTGTTCATAGTGACTTTTAGGAACAAGTAAAACACTGCGATAATAAATTATATTTAAAAAATACATATCAAGTCAGAGCATATGAAATAGCTAGTAAAGGTTTTGAATAAAAAGTAGCACAAAGAAATGAGAAACTAAAAATATCTTAAGTATTTTAGTACTAGTGAATTGTTTTAATACTTTAGAATTGCAATCATAAACTATGAATCAAGCAGCAAGTGGATGACACTAAAATCATTTTCACAGTAATAATTGTGTTCTGGGTACTCAGTGCAAAGTATAGTTCTGAAACTTAAAAGTCTTGCTGGTACGATTGAGGGTTGAATATGCTTGGTGTTTCTCTTTAGTACATTTGACATTCTGTATTTCTTGCTGTTTTGTTAACACCATGAGTCTCATTTCTTAATTCTGACAAATATAATTGTATTCAGAAAAATCCCCAACAGTTTAGAAATGAGTGTGCTTGTCAAAGTCAATCTGCACGCTGAAGTGCTGTTTTTGTGCTGAACTGAGTGGAAGACTGTGTGAATGCTAATGTGCTACCGGCAGAGCTATCCAATTTTGACCTTTTCTATATACTGTAGTTATGTTAACAATACAGTCTATAAGTTCTAAAAATACTCTCAAAAGCTTTGTTGTTTTAATCATCTACTTTGTATGTCATGTTGTTGTTCTAACATGATCAAAACAGTTACAGGATCAGTACATATTGCAATAGGAGTTATTAAAATCACAATCACAGGCACTTAGGTTTTGACTGCTTCCACAGATCACCTAAGAGAAAATATATCTGTTCACAGCTGTAAAATGAAGTCATAAAATGTAATGTAACATGTTTAAGATGAACTGTATGAATGTTGCTTTTACAGTTTAACTTGTGAATATATTTGTGGACTGTTGAAGTGTATAAAAATAAATTCCCAACCTCCTATCACCTCAGAGACACCCTTCCTCTGTGCTTTTTATACAACAAGCTTGCTTTCCCTCAGTCCCTTGCATCCTAGTATTTGATGATAGTGCACAAATTTGATTCCCAGGGCATTCCTGGCTATTTTTAGCATTACACTTTTAACCATAACTCTTATATCCAGGCAAAGAGTGTCGTGAGAACCTGTTTGGGGCAGCTGTCCATGCCACCTGCACCCACTTGACAGGTAGTTATCTCAACAACAACAACAGGTCCACAGTCAGATGCACTACCATTGAACTTCCTACTAGTTTAGGGAAGTGCTCCTCACACTACCTAGTATTCCTTCAGTCCAACTGCCCGATCTCAATCTCTAGACGGAAATGCATGGCCAGCCAGATCCCCGTCTGTCTTATAGTTGCTACGCCTCCACAGCAACCAACCAGACCTGCAGGGCTGCACAGCTTTCCTGTTCTGCTCAGCCCTGCCGTGTCTTTCCTGTGCTAGGGACATGCACTGTGCATTCACTGTTTCATCCATCTTCTGTCTGCTTGCACAGTGCATCCCAGCTCTCCACTGGCAAGTGGATTCCAAAGCCTGTCGTGCAGACGCGGCACTCTCCAGCTCAGCACAGTGCTGTCACAATAACAACATGGTACTGGAAGCCATGAGGTGGCCCAGAGATAAAGATCCCTTAAGGAAATTTGGAGCACCCCCCAACTCTCGGTGTCTTTCCCCTGACAGATCAACCTGCCCTCCTCTCCAGTGACAGCCCAGATCATCAGTCGCACTCAGAGCTCCAGCTCCACCGCTGCAGGGGGCGCAATCTCCCAGCAGGCCATGCTGCTGGGCAACAGCTCGCCCACCCTCTCCACCAGCCAGGCTCAGATGTACCTGCGTGCTCAGATGGTAAAGAGGTCATGGCACATAAAGCTCTATAGCCATCTTCTTCTGTACAGGAAAGTAACCATTTAAAAAAAAATGTGTATTTTATTAGTAGTTTATTTGTTCTATTTTTTAAATGAAGAACTATTTAGCTGTAAAAATGGATGATATTACCCAAAACTTTGTGACTTTACTAGTCATGATGCGTTTGATAGTTTAGTTACCTCATGCTATCGCAGCAATAGACATAATGCAAGTCTTTCAGGTGGGTAGCTGCATCAGCATGCATAGGCTGCAAAGGAACAAGTAATACGTTTATTCCATGCTGAAAAGAGAAGAAAGAAAACACAACGATTCGGCTGTGGAGCCTTCTTCGGGTGTGCACACCCAATGAAGGCTCCACAGCCGAAATGTTGTGTCTTCTTTCTTCTCCTAAAACAAGTCTTTATGTTCTTGTTTTTTAATGTCTGTCTTTTTTTGTTATTACTAAGAGCTTGGCCTTTGCGTTTCAAAGCAAATTCACAGTGTGACATTTGCTTTACTAAATGCCACTGCATTACAGAAACGTTGCCACTTTTTGAAATTTATTCCTGTTGTTTTTCAAGACTGCACACGCTTTTTCTTTAAAAAATGAAAACATTAATCACTTAAATTAATACAATGTACATGAAATGGACATGAAATGGACTACATTTCTTTGCCATAACGCTAACAATTTCAAACACAAAATCGCTGTTAAAGTATTGTAAAAAAATATGCAATGTTTTACGTTTTCTGTTGAGACTATCCAAAATGGAATACTAAAATAAAAATAACTGGACAAATCATTAGACCTGCTCTAAATATTAGCTTAGCCACATATGAAATGAGGACTGTCCCCTATGGTGCATTAAAAAGGAGCTTTAGTGAAGTCAGAATCTAAAGCTCACATGGTATGCTTGGTAAAACAAATATATTCTTAAATCATGTGGACAGCTATCTGTTACCTCATAAAATGTGAAATGTCACAAACATTTGGAAATAATACAGAAGCAAATTGTAAAGAGCCTGCTGTCCACTGCAATCTGTTTAGTCTTGGCCCTGTGTGCACCCATGAGGTACAGTATAGGAAAATACTCTACCTGTGAAATGTGCCTGCTAGTAACCTACAAACAAAAGGCAGACGCTCTCCATACTAAGTCAGCAGAAAGGGATTTTAATGATACTATATGTCAAAGGCGAAAACACTTACATATGGACTGGATGCACCAGAGGTACATTCTCATACATTATGATGTTCCTCTGTCCTGCACTTTTCACCTTTTCACAGTGACAATGACTTACTCACCCTTCAGAAAAATAACTTCCAAGGAAGGTGACTGGTTAGGTTTTCTGTTTTTTCGTTATTTAATAATCATTAGAAATTAGTCGCGATATCAGAACAGTGCATTGAGAACATACTATACCTTTTACACCTCCATCCAAACATTTTTTGTGTTTTCAAAGTTCATGTCCTTTAAAAAAAAGTAAACAAGGTATTAAAAATGGAAATAGCTCCCTACTTACCAGAAGACTGCCTTTTTTTCCACTGACATCCTCCAGCATCTCTCCCCCTCTCTCTGTGGTTTCTCTCTCATAGCTCATTCTCACCCCCACTGCCACTGTTGCAGCTGTGCAGTCTGAGCTGCCTGTTGTTTCTTCAGCATCCTCTCCGTCTGCTTCCACCCAGGTGAGCTGATTCCAGGTGCGGGGCTGGGGGCAGGGGGGGCATTTCTGAGGCTGTTTTACACCCAGACTTAGCTGATTTCCCTATAGACATGAGGTAGGGTGTGCTGTTCCCTGAACTACCTGCGGTTTAAATCAGACTGGTCCAACCTTAATCCTGAAGGCTGATGTGTCTGGGAGCTTTGTAATGATATAAATAAGGACCTTTATTTCTAAAGCAAGTTTAATCCTAAGGATCCCAAAGCATTTTACATCTAGGAGGAGACCCACTTCATTCATCACTGAAATCAGCAACATTACTACCCCTAAAAGTCTTCTATTCTAGTACTGACCAGTCCCAGCTTTTCTGAGCTGCTGAGATCTGAGAAGATCAGGTTATAAAGATGGTAACACTGCAGTGTCTAGGTTTTAGCAGTAACTGAAGCGCTGTTAGCGGAGATGTTAACACGTTAGTCCAATTAAAACAATAAAGAGCAGAGGAAATGTGTAATGAAGCCTTTAGATAGTGAAGCCCTGCAGGTACACCAGCTCTCCAGGACTGAAGCTGAGCCTCCCTGGTTTAGATCATTAGGACACCTCACAGTTAACATTTTCAGGGCAACATAGGATAAACACACATGAAAACAAAACTTGAGAGAAGAGAAGTTGAACAAAATAATGACATGTGAAAAACTGTTTTATTGAAAAAAAAAACATTTACTTACCAAAGCGATTGATGCTAAATGAACCAAAAGGTGTCTAACACATCCCATTTCTATTTTGAACTGTATTTTTAATTTTGTAACCTTGCCCAAACCAGACTGAGTGACTTCGAAAAACCGGGATCCTGCAGCTTTCTTTGAGCTTTCAAAAACGTTTCAGAGTGATGATGTTAATCTGAGGGCTTTGATGCAACACAACAGGAAACCAGATGCGAGGTCAATTTAAAGGCACTTCCTCTGAAAGCCCTGCCTGACTCCTGGTCCTGTTCTTGCCAAGGTCCAGAGCCTGACGCTGAGGGCCCCACCCAGCGCTCTGCCCTCAACACAGACTGTGCCACTCAAGGCTACCACTCAAGGACAACCTCAGATACCCACACACCCCAAGATGTCCCTATGTCCCCTGAAGTCCACTCAGCAGCCCGAAGCCCAGGGGGACGGGGGGAAGAAAGGGGACAGCCCTGGAGCCGAACCCCGAAACACTCCTGTCTCCCGTCTGCCCTCTGCGCATCAGCTTATAGCCCCAGGTAAGTTTAATGCAAAATACAGGAATATGATTTCGTCAAACAGAAGTTGGCTTACCTGATATGACCTCAAACGTTCCTCTCAGCTTCCTGCAGCATAAGGTGTTTTTAATATCTATGTATTAGGATGATAATTGGCTACCAAATGATAACATGGTCTGAAAACAAAACAGTATTTCATACTGAAGCTGATGTTGTCCTCGCTGGAAATGTCTTTGCCAAAGTTTGTTCCTGACCAATGACATCACAGGGATTTAGGGTAACAGCAAATATGTGAATTGTGTGAATTGGCCAGCAACAGATCTAGAAAAGGCCAATGGGAAATAGTTTGGTGTATTGTTAACTATTAGTAAACTATCAACTGCAAAAGCTAATGCCACAGTTGTAGAAGAAATTTTGGAGACATGAATGTCTCCTTAAGACTGCAGGCTAGAGCTGATTTGACCTGTGCGTGTCTGAGTATTGTCCATGGGGACTTTTGCAGCACCATTCCCTCCAGTACAGCCTCACGCTCTGATGAAGCACCAGCTGCATTGCCCAGCCGGACACAAGGGGGCGCACCACCAGCTCATTATACAGCAGCAGCCAGTTGCTCCTCACAGGCAGGTCCAGCCAATCGCGCTCCAAGTCACGACGCAAGAGACTCCGCCCCCCTCCCAGCACTGCCTGTCCGTTCAGCCACAGGTGGCCCCGCCCACCAACCTGGTTTCCGTCCAATCGCAGCACTGCACCTCCATCTCCTCCGCCGCCGCCCCCCCGGCTCCCTCTCCCGAGCAGTCACAGCCTGCCGCTCAGCCGACAGTGGTCGTCTCCCCTCCGCCCACGCATTCCCCCACCAGCCATTCCCCGACCATCATTATCCAGCCCCAGGCACTGGTCGGGACCCAGGCTCAAGCCCTGGTCTCCGCCCCCATGCAGCTGGGCCCAGCTCAGCCACCGCCTCTCAGCTCCGCCCAGGTTCCTTCCAGTTTGTCCTCCCACCTGTCTCCTTTGTCTTCCTCGCTTGCGTCGATTGACTCCCTGCCTCAGTCTGCGTTGGTGCCCCCGGCGACCGTACCTACCCCTCAGCCCCCTCAGCACTCCCCCCCACCTCAGGCAGCCGCCGGGCCCCTGTCATCTCCTCCTCCTCCTCCGTCTGGCCCCCCGGAGCTGCCCCACCCCTCTCCCACCTCGCTGCAGCCTCTGCCCCTGCCGTCGGTCCAGGCTCTGGCGGTGCAGTCTGAGGTGCTGCCCGCGGCGCCAATGCTGCTGTCTGAAGAAGAGCTGCCCGTGGCTGAGGCCTTGGTCCAGATGCCTTTCCAGACGCTGCCCCCTCCACAGACCGTCGCTGTCGACCTCCAGGTCCAGCCGGCCGCGCCGGTGGAGACCCCAGTGGTGAGGTCTTTGGGTTTCTGTGTCACACATGTTCCTCACACACCCCACACCCTGTCTCCCCCTGCCTTTTAATTCCCGTACCAAGGTGCTTGGAGGGAGGGAGGGGAGGAGGGGGGGTGGATGTGCGGAAACGTTGTTTGGTTGTGTTATTGCTTTTTTTGTACCAGGAAATTTTTAATGAATAAACGTTTGTTCACGAAAAAGATCAAGAAAAGGCACATCTTTAAAAGTTGGGGGCTTCAGCTGACCATTATTGTAATTTCCCAAAGTCAGTGAATTGTAAACATGGTAAAGCAGCACCCAACAAACAGTAACATCCGTGGTGATGAATTGAAGACTGCAATTGGTAGGTCCTGGACAATCTCTTTCCTGGATGTGCTGTTGTGTGTGTTCACGCTTTGTGTATTGTGTTGGGTGGGGGGCCAGGTGCAGCAGGTATATGAGATGGAGGGGATGTGTGCAGAGGAAATGAGAGAAGACGGATTATCCTGTCCACTAAGGGATAGGACTCCCACTCCCCCTGCTTTGTCGCCGCCTGCTATTCCCGAGAGGCACTGCGAAGACATGTCCATGCATTCAGAGAACTGCTCAGGTACCTATTTAAACTTCTGCACTTTGTAACAAAAGATGTGTTTTTGCCTGATCTATATTGTGTGTAACCAAAGATATAATACAATATAAGCTATTGGAACTCAGAAGGTTCCCTTTCCTAAGTCTCAGAGCAGCGCAATGACATTCATGTGCTCTCACCTACAGCTGTTACTAACCTGCCCTGTGTAACGTCAACTGGCAACGCCTCCGTGATCAGATCTTCTGCGGATCCCACTTACGTCAACAGCTCCCCCCCTCCCCTCCTGCCAGCCGTGGTAAGAAGTACCAGCAAGCCCCCCCAAGCAAGCCTCCCGGGGGTTCCTGACAGCAAGCCCCCGCAGGCGATCGTTAAACCCCACATCCTCACGCACCTCATTGAGGGCTTCGTCATCCAGGAGGGGCTGGAGCCGTTCCCGGTATGTCCACAAGAGGAAGCTGCCGAACTACAGAGTCACTGCCTCTGAGGGGTGTTAGTGCAGCCCACGGTGTCCGATGGCATGACACCCCTTTAACTAGGAGCTGAAGGAGGGCCGTAGATGTCAGAGAAGGCATTATACATGAACTTTCACTATTGATAGAAGTGTTTTTCTTGTACCAGCCCTTGATTTCCATGGTTCATATCCATTGACACGGTCCACATTTTTATACCAAAGAGCTCGGTATTCTCAGAACATGCTTCACACCAAGTGCTCTTTAAACACGGAGGTGGATGGTTTCAAATTCTGACGCATTAATGGCTCAAAAAGAGGAGTGTTTTGACGTATGTACATGTACATTGGAATTCTTATTTGCGCTGATCTCTTACAAAACAGCAGATGACACAGTACAACGGACAACATAGATAGTACAATACCACACAAGAAAGAATCCAACCAGAACAATAAATATGTATTGGTGAAAGAAAAAAAAACATGGTAGACCTTAGAAAAGTCTGGCATAGTGGAGACGTGCATCGAGTCTGAGGCGTTGCAGTTAGCTGTGGTGGATGCGTACTGCAGTAGGGTATAAGCTGCCCTTCAGCCTAGTGGTCCGTGCTTTAAAGGTGTGGTACCGCTGGGAGAGAACAGTTTGTGGCCGGGAAGGCTGGGATCCTGAATGATGGACTGGACTTTGTTGCGACAGCGGAGGGTGTGGATCCCACCGATCGATGGGAAATCACATCCTATAATCCTCTGTGCCAATCCCACAACCCTTTGTAGGTCATCTCTGTCGTGCATGGTAGTCTTGCTGTGCTACACAGTGATACCACTAGTGAGGACACTTTCTACTGTGCTGCGGTAAAAGTTCACGAGTAGCACGTGCCCCTGAAGTACAGTATCCCCGCCTCGTCTTCGGTGGCAACAGATCTGGCCGTGAGCTTCACGCCCCGTCGGCTGTCTTGTGCTGCAGGTCAGCCGCTCCTCCCTGATGGTGCAGCAGCAGGTGAAGCAGCCCGAGGCCCAGGTGCTGAAATCGAACGGGGGGCAGCCGGAGGCCCTGCTGGAGCCCGAGCAGCCTGAGAACTCCAGCGACACCGACATGGACGACATGACTGCCGAGGGTGAGCAGCCGAGCTCTGACGGAGCCAGGGCGAGCGCCCTCGTCTTGATTTTAAAAGACGCCGCCCACCGGAAGAGGAATGTCATGAAGGCCTCCTGTAGATCTCTGTCTTCCACAGAACAAACACTACAGTGTTTTGTTTTTGGTCAACGACAAAGCTCAGCGGGACTCCTCTTTTTCAGAGACACGTTGCATCTTGTTTGCAGCCAAGAACAGTTTAGATTTTAAGAATGTGTGACGCAAAAACAGCTTTGTTTGGGTTTCATAGTTCTCAGAAATATTCTGGTAAATATTTCACAGGCAATGACGTTCTTTAGTTACTCGGGTAAAGCAGACACAGAGAGCTGTGGAGAGATGGCTCTGTGGTTCCCAGAATACTCTTCAGCGGTTAAGCCCAACCATCACGGTGGGTGGCAAGTATCTCTGAGAGTTTGTCCTCTCAATCTGAAACACTGAAGCACTGCAGCTTGTCACTTTTCCTTACAGACGGCGTGGAGGAAGCTGCTACAGAGGTGCTGAAGTGCGAATTCTGTGGGAAGAGGGGGTACGCTCACAAGTTCCTCAGGTCAAAGAGGTTCTGCTCAATGTCATGTGCCAAAAGGTAAATTACCTCCTCATTTTTAATATATGAATGTTCAATTTTGCTCATTTGAAGAGAAATATTTTTTTTCCTCCTCCTACATGCTAAAAGAGTCAGGGATCATAATGAAATTGATGCCTCTTTCAAAGTGGTGTAACAATCATACAATTATGGACAGGATATGTATGTGCTACATATATTCTGTATATACCTGGTATATGAATAACCGTTATCATCTACTAATACTGAAAGATCGCTGATGACTGTAGTTATACCATACAAAGTTGGCAACAGGCAACAGGCCACAGACATACAAAGCTTTTAGAACTCAAAATGTCACGCATTTTTCCATTTAGATCTCAGTTATTCCTGTGCATGTCTAAAAACTCAGAAATTCTCTTATTTTTAAGTGTTTCTTTGTACCTGTAATCTACCCAATTTTAGTCCAATAAATTAAACTCCTTTCTAAGGTACTGAAAGTTCAAAATATTTACAGATTTCCAAGCCTTTTGTGCTGCTTGCTAATATCAAAAGGGAAATAAAATGTGATTGATTAAAACATATATATATATAAAATAAATGATTTATATATACTTTATATATGAAACAGGAGTCACTGTCTTTTGATAAATTAACACATAGTGGTTACCAGAGATTGAATTATATATTTTGATAGTTTTAATCCTTATAAAATAATTGTGGAATGTAATTCATCTGGATTAATTTAGCGTTTGTTCTTGGAGTGTGATTACACCATGAAATGTGGTTGCAACTACTTACAGTAGTAAAGTCAAGAATTATAGCAATCACACCACTAGCTTGTCAGGAATGTCATTCTGAAGCATAGCCTTCGACTTTCCTAAGAAACAATTTCAGAAGAACCTGCATTCTCTCGTACCCTTCCATGCTTCAAAAACTGAAGTCTCCGTCCACATTCACGCCGTATAACATATCACTTCTTAAATCAATTGAGCTGACGTTCACTAAAGATCAGAAAGACGTCTTTAATTGTTTTGTTTTTTTTACTTGTGATGACGAATATCCACACAGAGTACACAGAGTACACCGCAGGTCACGGGACAAGCCTGCAGAGTATCTATGTGCTAAGCAAGACACTCAGGAGGTTCTTCCTTCCTTCTGTGGTGGGAGCAGAGCTAACCACAGAGCAGACTCAAGTGTCTCAGCAGTGTGGACTGTGTGATACTGTCAACACCTTGGCCGGGTATAAAATACGACTGGCTCAAAACATTTTTTAGGCTGGTGTTTGAGCTGAAGTCTAAACGAATTAGGCTATTTGCAGTTTGACTGCCACGGTGAAGCATCTCCTCCTGAATCATTTACAGCTAGCCTCCAGATGAATGCAAGGGAGCTGAATTTCAGTTCAGTTCAGAATTCAGAGTTTGACGGTTACGGTTTTTCAGTATGAATCAATGTCAGTCAGTATTGGAGGGAGCGCCGGGGCCCACCCTGGGGCGGGGAGAAATGAATCACAGCACGGTGCAGCTCCTCAGGAAGTGCACTCCGCCTGGTCTTCCCCTGCCTCAGGTTCAACGTCAGCTGCACGAAACGGGTCAGCATGATGAAGGCCGACAAGGTGGGCCGCTGGGCCCGGAAGCCGGACGGAAGACGTGGTCGGCGCCCCAGTGGGGTTGAGGGGGGATCCAGGGAGCATTTCCTCCGCCAGGTCAGAGACCCGGGGGGGCGAGGGAAGGAACAGGGCCCGACACATCCTTTCTTGCCTTGTATCCCTTGACAAAGACTTAAATTCATGGGGAATGCTGCTTTCTAGGTGGCGCAAATCACGCTTCATAAGTACATAACAAGCAGTTGTTGACGCTAATAGACTCATTAATAAAGTACTTACAAATGACAAGCCTCTCACTTTACTTAATAAGTATCCAATCAAAAAGTAGTCACTTCCCTCCAGGTTATCGACACGATTATGACTCTTCGTGTGTTATGGCTTTTAAAGGCTTTATATAGTTTTTCTACCTCTTGTATTGAACCGCTACCTGTTCTTTAATGAAAAAAATACACGACACTAGACTTATACTCATTTGTTGGTCATATCAACACCACAGTAATGCTGGCCATACTCACACCCAGGCCTGAAGTTAGGGGATTGTGATGAAGGTGAAAGGCTGTGGATGTCCCTCAGGGCCGCGCTAACACGGGCCTCACGTCTCTGCGAGTTTGCCCCCTTGAGCTCTCTCTTCCCTCCGCCAGCTGGCGGTGCCGTACAACAACACGGAGGAGGTCCAGCGGGGCGCCAGCCAGTCCCCCCGCGAGGAGGAGCCCCCCGTCCCCATGACGACGAGGCTGCGGCGCCAGAGCGAGCGCGAGCGGGAGCGGGAGCGGGACGTGCGCATGAGGGAGCCTTCGGACGCGGCGGAGAGCCTGCCCGCAGCCCAGGCCGACCCCACGCAGTGGACCGTCAACGACGTCTGGGCCTTCATATACACTTTACCAGGTATTCAAATGAAGTGCAGGACCGGAGCCGCCCCGTAGTGATTCTAGGGTACGGGGCCTGAAGGACAGGCTTCCTGTTCCCCGACCGCAGTGTTGAAAAGAAGAGCGCCCTGCGCTCTGGTCCTCGGCATCTCCCCCTCGGGCTGCTTTTCCCGGGGAATGACATGTTGAACGCAGCGCTGTCTGCAGTGGTCTCTGTGTGTCACGCGCCTGTCTCCTCTCCGCAGGGTGTCAGGACATTGCGGAGGAGTTCCGCTCTCAGGAGATAGACGGACAGGCGCTGCTGCTGCTCACGGAGGACCACCTCATGAGCGCCATGAACATAAAACTGGGGCCTGCCCTCAAGATCTGTGCCCGTATTAACTCCCTGAAGGAGGCCTGAAGAGGGGGGCGGCAGTGACGGGTCGCCTGCAGGCGCCCCACCGCCCAGCTCCGCCACAGACCCAGCGCTCATCTCTGCAGAGATGCTACACATTCCCCGTCGCCGGTACTCGAGCTCCGGCCCCCCTGCGCTCCGAACCTCTCGTTTCTGCTAGGGGACAGACAGGCGTGCCCCAGCCCTGCCGGGTGTGTCGGACGTCTTGAATTTCAGTCGTTTCCGAATTGAGCGAGGAGTCAAAGAAAGCGTTTATTGTCATGCACAAAAAGTACGTAAGCACCTAATGATCCAGTTTTTGCCAAATTCACCACAATGTAATAACGTCGTGAACCGTGTTAACAGTATACAGGGGTCCAGAGGAAATCACAGTCAGTTATTAGTTATATCAAATGATGAATGATAATTCATGATGTACAGTAGTGAAACTGTAAGCCAAGCTCTATTATGTTCTTTGATCTCCATCAATGGTACATACAGTATAGAAATGAGGGGATCAGATCCAATATACATGCCAGCAGAGAGTATTAACGATATTTAAAGCCAGTGAATAGGTTTCTGCTATGCTGAGGCCTCCCCCTGTTCTAGTTTTATTTGCGAGACCTGTAGCTTTATTTGCCTTAACTACATTTGTTTTGGGATTATAAATTTGAACAACTCACGGTTTTGGGAGTCAAGGATAAGGCTTTCACCGATAGACCAAGTGGAGGAAAATATGTTTTCTCCATTGACGGGCAGTATTGGAATGTAATTGAACGCTGCTGCACTTGCCCGCACAAAAGCTTTTCATTCATCTTGGACGCAATGCAGGCCACAAGTGTCCACATTATAATGAAGCTACTAGTGCTTGATTAATCGTGACAAGCTGCACTTGGCCACTTCATTAATACAACTGCTGTCTGTCCTGCCACAGGTTCAACAATGTAACACTGTGTTAAACAATTGCTCATTTGCTTTCAATACAATATACTGTGCTATATGCTTTCTCAGCACTGAAGTCCAAAAGAACAAAAAGTGAGTTAATATATTCAAAGCTGTCATTTTAAACGCACAGTTCTTTACAAAGTGTGCATATATTTAAAAAATACTAAGTAGAGGTTGCTCATATGACAAATATGTAATTTATACTAAAACAAACACAGAGGAAGATTTTTATGGCCCACAGTCACTTGTATATTTTGAGTGTCGAGTGACTGTGCAAGGAAGTGTTGTCTATTTGAGCTTCTTGGTTGTACCAGGATATAAGCAAAAAGTAAGAAAGAGTCCTCCTGCATATTCTATTGCAGTTATTATTTTTTTACTAGATATATGAATCTGACAGTGTTTGAATGTAAAAAAAAATTAACAAAGGACTTCTAAATTTGCTAGTTTCTTTTTAAGAAGACAGAAATTAGTTCCGTTTAAACTTAGTTGCATTTTATACTGTATTTCCTCAAAAATAGTTTTAGGAAATGTAAAAATTTAGAATTCCACCCTTAATTGCTAAGTGTCTGTTTAAAAAAGTATAAATTGTAATTCAAAAGAGAAACAAGAATTCTGGATAAATTCATTAGTTCATAATGATTGGGTTTAGCTGATAAAACTTAGAAACTGCTGCTGAGCTATAAGACAGGCTAATTAGTTCAACGGGGAAGAAAAATATAGTGAAACATTTTTAGGTCCTTTGAATGTGATAGTTCTTCCTTCCCAAACTATTTGAATTTTCATAAGCAGTATTAAATGCCCATGCCAACAGTCATAATTACCTATACCGTCACTTACATATTGAGTTTTATATCAGTAGAGAAGGTGAATTACTTCTGTCTTCACATAGGAATATCCCATCAAAGAAAGCAAGGTGCTTTAAACTTATCTTGCTGCATGTGAATGCCATACAGGGACACCATCAAAATATCCACCAGAGTAAAGTAAAATGAGGTGAGCTACTGCTGCTACAGTTCCATGCTTTTGCAACATTTCAAATAGTGCTTCATTTCAGTCCACCCTTGAAAGACAGTATAGCACTAGAATCCAGGAATGAGCATCTATAGCATGTTTAATACATTACACATTTGCATGACTGAAGCTTTGTAACCCAATAATAGTATATGTTCTAGAAGGTTCAAATAGCTTAAGAACATAAAGTGGGTTGGCAAATAGCCACACTAGTTCTTTAAACACCAGAGCCAAGCCAAATAAAATTGTTAGACATTTAGTAAAGCCAAACATTCTTGCACAATAGGCTCATGTGCTTTGAGAAAAATGGGTATAGGTCATGTGCAAACCAGCTTTTCTCCTTGCGTTGTGTTGAACAGAAAACCTTAGTGTCCAAAAATGGTTCATACTGCCAACAACCAGTGTTAAATATTCTATTTTAAACTCTATTCCTGTAAAAAAAAA